ATTGTGTTTTTGCATGGAATTAGTAATTAGAAACATCCCTTTGTCATGATCAATGCTGGAATTTACAGAAAATGTCCCTTGAACCACAAAAAAAATTGGCAAAGTGTCTGGTGTTGATTCCTCAAGAAATCAAGCGCAAAAGAAACGCGTCATGGAAAGTCATGGAAAGCGTACACCCGCTATTTCAACGGATTTCGACTCACTTCGGGCGACTCCAACCACTCCACTCCAAGCACACGGCCCGGCCTGGCACGAAGTGCTGGCCTTGCCGGGAAGTTGGTGAATGGCTGGTGAAATTATGTCTGAAAGATGGGGATATAGCTGGGGAAAATCTGTATATCATTTGAATATAATAGAGATATGTTGCTCTGCCGAACTCAAAACGTGTCATGTCCAAAGGAATCAGATTTTTGCTAGGTTCAAAATTTAAAGACACCGGAGTGATTGAAGCAGGCCATCCACCACCGATGTCATATATGTCATTGTCTCTCGCGGCCTTTCCACAAACAATACTGTTTGATGTTCGTTTTTGGCAAGAACAAAACCAATCCCAAATCTACCATAAATGCATAAATGGGTGCTATACAAGCCTTCAAAATATGGCTGATTTACGAGCGCTTTACTAATCTGGCAGCCACCCCCCGGTCACTGGAGGTCCGACCCAGCGACTTCCAAGAGCTCCCCAAGTGCCTGCGGGACTCAGCTGATATGTAGAATATGTATATAACCGGCCTGGTAAACATACAAAAAACTATGGAAAATCACCATTTTAAATGGAAAAATTCACTATTTCTATGGCCATTTTCAATAGCTATGTTAAATTACCAGAGGGTAGTGTGATACATCATTAGCTACGCAGCCCCAAAAACGAATCCAATCTTTGGATCATTCGCCATGATCCATCATGATCGATCTGAATTTGTTATGACAATTCCCAGGCCTGAAAGATGTATGTGATGTTTGGGGGTTCCGGACTTCCCGATTCGTTTCCGGTAATCCAATGCAAGGCAGTACATCGATATATATATATATATACAGTATACATGCATTTATGTGTGTAAAATTGTATATATATATATATACATATACATATATATATAGATTTATATATATACATTGCGTAATGTACATATCATAGATCTATATATCATATGTATATATATATATACATATATACATAATATATATATACATACACATTATATATATATTATATATATATACGTATACATATCATATCATATCATATCATATGGTATCGCATTGTATCATATCACATAATATAAATTATATAATATCGGCATGTGTATATCTATATCATCTCTATGTGTATGCATGTGTGGATTGTATGATGGAATGTAACCTGAACCCGCGAAAAACAACCAAAAAAAAACGTATGTATTAAAACATATGATTATGTATGCAAAATGGGTTCGCTGAAGGGTTTCTTGCAGTGCACATCACGGATGTCACCATTTCTGTGTGCACCTTCAGAGTTATACAGCAAAATGCCCTAATTTAGGCATTGGGTCAAAAACGGGGCGCTTTTTAGGCCGAGACCACGGGGCGCTTATGAGATATCGTGACGATGAAACCATGAGGGGTTGATGAAACCATGACCCGATCACTCCTGAAGCTCCGTGGAGACCACGCCTCTAGCACGGTTCGACAGAGCTGGGCATTGGCCACCTAAGGAGCCACCAGGATGATCCAACCCGCAATCCCTGGTTTCGACCAAGTTTTGTCGGGAAATTCTGTCCCATTCTTTGGATCGAAATCCAACAACTTGAGCAGTACATGCCCAGAATCTCTGAGGATCACAATATCAAAACACTAACAGCTGATGAAATCCCAGACTGATTCAACCCCCATTGGCCCCATCTTGTGTCACTTCAATCTCCGTTTTTTTATTGATTCAACTCCCAGTTTTGGTAAACTAGTAAAATCCCATAAAATCCCAATCTTCCTTGCTGAAATCTCCAGTTCTATTGCATTCTTCTTCTTGTGAAATCCTCTAATCTGGTAAATAGAATCATCACCAATCCCCCAATTCTATTGGGCCATGGGGAAAAAAGGCGGCTCGCACCTTTGCTGAAAGGAGTTCCATCAAGATGGATGCCGAGGTCAGGGCCGCCTAGTGACGCCCGGAGATGGGATGAAAAATCCGTGGATGGGAAAATATAAACCATGAACATATGGCTGGTGTCTTATTGCTTTACTCAAAGAAAAACTTCTAAATGGCAAACAATTTTCAAAAATAGTATACAAATTTATATATATATATGTATATATATGTATAAACGTTCTGGCAAGAAGTGGCTCAACTGTTGATTTGACCGGAAACATGGTTGGATGAAGCGAGAAACAATGTGAAAGTGAATCTAGCAAGGGCATCTTTTCAGGGGAGAAGATTTGACTGAAAAGACTTCAGACTTCTCAACAATGTGAATTTGTAGATGATGTTGTGTAAAAAAAATGTTCTCAAAATAATGCTGATGTCAGCAACAAGAGTTTGTTGAAGGCGATTGAGTTGACAATTCTCGGAATGCAAACATTTGGCGATAAGTCAAAACCCTACGTAGTTCTCTAGGTACCCCAGCTGGTGAATGGATGTTTATTCCCCCAGTCATATGGACATTTCATAGTTAACTTGACCCATCCCCATTTCACTGACAGAACAGAGAATCAAAGTGCGGATTCAGACCCAGTTCGATGTGAACCCCCGCAGGATTAGTCCTCAGAGGAGAGCACAAGCCATTCTTCTTTATTCTGCTTGGGGGTGCACTGTAAATGTAGACATGTATATATATATATATATATATATGGTATAGGATGGTATATCTATTGATATCCCAGCTCATGAAGGTTACCACGGTTATAGCAATGGAACACATCTACGCTGCCGGGGGCATCACCAGCCACCCGCCTCCTTCAGTTGAGGAATGGCCTGGGAGTGTCAAAAAAATTGCGCACCCCAAAATTCCAAATATGATGGTTCGAAAGAGGTTTCCCTGTTTGTAAAACTTGCAACTCTGGGGTATACTGGTATACACATATATACATTTCTGGACAAACTTATTCGGTCAAAAAGTACCCAAAAAAAAGGGAATGCTGCAGCTGTGTCTCCTGCAACCTCAAGTGGAACTCCGAATTTCGGTGAAATTCCCCTCACATGGCTAGATCCAAACTTCTGGTGAAATCCCCCAAAAATGGCGATGCAAAAACCGACCACAAAAACCCACCGAAGTCTCCATGGCGCCTCATGCTTCTCCCCAGCGATGGTCAAAGCAGCTCGGCTCAGAGTGAACGCGCTGTCGTTCAGCAAATCCACGCTTTCCTACCGCGAACCCCCATGTGTAATGTGGGAAACCCTGGCCATAAACCTACCATGACTAGGGATGGTTAAAAAAACACACCCATAAAAATGGTGATTTAGGGGATGGTTCATTACTGGGTTTACCACATTAGATGATTTAGATTAGCTATAACTATATTGAAAATGCTGCGTTTCCATTGCCAGCTTGGGTGCTTACCATCGTTCCGGGGTTGAGCGAAGATTGAATCAAACACAAATGCGAAGTTCACTGACCAAACTAACGACTTAAGCACGCAGATGCAGATATGATACTGTATCACTTGATGTAATATCTACAAAAATGGAGTTCACACTGCAAAATGGGTTTGACATCACAACAACTACATACTCGCCAATGACGTTATTGTTGGCAATGTCGACCCACTTATATACATAGTGGGAGTTGTGGACCAGGAACAAAGAGGTTGCAAACCTCGTTATAAAGGATTTACACCTTGGACATATATATATATATATACATACCGTTAAAGTGAAAGTTAGAATGCGGTTTTGGCTTCGCGTGATGGTGGCCCGTTTGGCCCCCCCCCCACGGCAGTCGCATTCTAACTGAGGAAACACCTGTAAATATGCAGAAACATCATATAATTATATAATCATATTCATATATATATATATATGCATGTGTCTCCATAGGATTGGATTTCCATATTTCCTGCCATATTTCGAAGGCCCGGTGAAGGGTCGAAAAAGACCTGGAGACCTGTGATCAATTCCGGGGATTCCAGGGGTTCTCTCAGCCGAAGCCCTGTGGTTTACCCTCCAGTAAATTAACATAGACCCTGCTAGATAGGAACTGGAAGATTAGTTTCCATTAACAATTGGTGATTTTCAGGGTCTATGTTAATTTACCAGAGGGTAATCGGTATGTGATGGGATATTTTATATATTTGATGTGATACTGCATATAGCATCATATAACCAACTGACAAGAAAATTGACTTGAAAATAGAATCCCGACCAACTTATATAATCAACTTGATATGATATATGGGTGCGTTTGAGAATGGGGCCCCAAAGTATCACTTGATAATGGCAAAAATTGTGATAAAACATAGGATTTAAGGGTTACTCGATGCTCAAACCCGATTCTCTTCTCATATCCAGGATGGAATGCAGTCATGTCGTGGATGGAAGCCCAGAAGCATTTTTTCAGGCGCTTGGACCATCCCCATCTGGACCATCTCCCCAGTCATCGGCACCCGGCACCAAGCCTGGCATTTTTGCATGCAGAAGATTACGGTCTGTATGACCTGCACCACCGTGTCCTTGGCGGCGCATCGGCGCATCTGCATCATAGATTTAACCAAGCAAAAGAGGGACAAATCTCTCATGACGCCCCAAAAATGCTTGGTAAATGTATGTGTAATATATATATATATAATTATTATATATAATTATATTATATATATATTTAAATGTTATAGATTTAAATGTCCAGTTTTTCAGCAGTAACAAGTGTCGTAGTGCTTTCGAGGTCTCGTTGGTGGCGCGTCTTGACGGCCACGCCATTTTTTTCAGGTCGCTTGGGAGAAATTTGAAGACATCATTTGGTGGTAAAAATCTGATTCAGAAAGTATGATAGATCTTAGATGGCCAAGCTTTTTCGTCATCAATTTGCCATGCTCTAGTCACTCAACCAAACCTTATCCATGGTCCCCGCCAGAACAGTGACCCCATAGGGACGCCGAAGGCGAAAAATCAGCCACGACACCAGCCCGGCTTGGTCACCTTCCCAAGTGAGGTCACCTGAAAAATGCCAATTTTTTCGTTGGTGAAATCTCCTTTTTTCCTGGATTTGTAGATATAATCATCCTGAGGTAGATGGAATGTGGGATGTTCATACTGAGGTTTTTCTTGATTTTCCTATGTTCTATCTACTTCAGGATGGCTATACTTGCACGAAAAATATCAACGGGAAGCCCCGTTACTGAAGCAATGGTGTTCAACTCTTCGCTGCCAGGAATTGGAGCTTGATCTGTATCCCAGCGATCAAAAGACTGCTCCATGTTGGTATCATCTACCAACGGGGGTAGATAACAAGCGATAGGTAGCACCACTACTTGGGATTAAGGGAAGATGGAGCATTTAGCGAACTCTTTCTGGTTAAACCCCCTATGTTTGATGCAGCGCCCAGACTAACCATCATATCATCACCATCAACCTCACCTTTGAGGGAGCTGATGATGATAGGCTGGGAAAATCATGGGAAAGTTGGTGGAACTTTCGGAAACTTCTGAGAAAATCATGGATGGTGATGTGGCATTTGGTGATGGGATGTTTCCCGCGATTTGGGCTGGGTGTTTGAGTCACTTCTCACTTCCATCCCATGGTTGAAAAATGCTGAAAACTTCATTTTCCCCATGAACCTGCTGGGAAAAAAAAAACGGGTGGCTAAATCCACTATTGTTCATAAATCATCATAGATCATCATAGAATCATCACAGAATCATCATGGAATCATAGATCAGATCCTAAATCCAAAATTGCCATAGAATCATAAATTATCATGTAAACACAGATCATCATAGAATCATAGATCATCATAGAATCATAGATCATCATAGATCATACGTTGGTTAAAAATGGTTAAAAGTTACAAGTGGTAAATCCGTCAGATATCCATTCAACCACAGCATTCAATGGCTAAATCCTCATGTTTCATGCTTCTTTCCAACCCTAACATTTACATGTTTACCAATTCTTCTGTCATAATCGAACCCTTCCACCATTTGCTAAGATATCAAGTGTTGGTTGCAAATCAAAAATCCCAAATATCTTATCCATTAGATTCATTGATTGCAGTAAAGCCCCCCATGTTTCATGCAATGAATACCACCACTTTTGGCCAAGAAGCTCAGGGACCTCAACGTGGACTTTACCACTTTCTCGGATTTCTCATTAAAGACATCGCAGTTGGTCCGCAGCGTGGCTAGCAGCGATTGCACGCCATGCAGCTGTTGCACTGCCCAGAGGCCCCAGTACCTTCCCAGGCACGAACCGTGGACCGTCATGGCCCGGACCATGTCAAGAAAAAACAAGATTTTTTGGGTTGGCTGATCAGTTTTAAAGCTAACTAAGAGAGCAAAAAGTCAATGCAAATCAACCAAAAAAGCACCCCTGAATTCGGGCTTGCAGCTGCAGCTCCACATTACAAAATAGTACGTGGGTCTATTCCTGCCATTCGCAATTCCATTCAGAAGGTTCTCACTTCACACCTAGAAAAACAAAACAATATATGATAAACCACCTCAAAAGAATAAACTGTCACTAAATCTTTCGCCAAAAGTGTTTTTTTTTCGCGAACTCAAAAAAAAACTATTGCAGGGTCTCATGTTGTAACACCGGCGGCCTTCGTAATGGATAATCCCTACATTCATGGACCTTTAGATCGACTTCTAGATATGTATTCATAGGAATTAGTCTATCATTTCTAATCTTGGTAAAGCAATAGTAAACCATCCCAATTTTTCACCTTTTCATTGGCTGCTATAAACCATCACAATCTGGGTGGTTTATGGCATTGCTTTACTAACATTCTCCCATAAAATCCCATAAGATCCTATAAAATCCCTCAAACAACTATAAAATATATATATATATAATTATATATATATAATCCTATAAAATCCAGAAACCAAAAACCTCTCAAAAAAAACTGTCTTCAAATTCCATAAACATCCCATGAAGATCCAAAAAAAATCCGGATCCCGGGGCCCCCGGGGCCCCCGGGGCACAGGACTTTCCCGTCGTTCTGCGAGCGCTGCAGGGAGCGCTCCAGCACCACGCCCACGCGGGCGCCGAAGGCGTCACCGCAGGCCCCGCCTTTGCAGAGCTGCGAGACCATGCGGATGCCCTCCTGGTGTCACCAAAAAACAGGGGAAAAATGGTGAAAACTCAGGGTGAACTGAGAAAAATGATGGTTTTAATGGGATGTAACTGATTTAAGCATCAAGTTGGTCCGAAAATGCTGGGTTTCACCCAAAAACCATGGGTGTTTTTGTGGAGCGCCATACCACTTGCCAAGGAAAATGATGGTTTGACGGTATGTAACCATCAAAAATGATGAAAAATGTTGGTTTAAGTATCAAAAAAATGATTTGGTTAATGAATCTGAAGTTGAGTATATAATGGGATAATTTATAGAACATGTATATATATAACCAACAAACATGGGATTGGATGGGATTTAATCATCCGGTGTTTCCAAACATGATGGATTTAACCAACAAAACTCTGTTGTTGTGTTACGGAATACTTTAGATGGGATATATTTCACCAAGTTGATACGATGTCTATGGTTTTGTCGAGAAATCGGGTATACATGGCCATTTGAATGCTGCGAAAATGGATCTAGGCCCCAACTTTATGGGGGATTGGGACATAAAAAATATGGGAATTATTTACTGGATGGTGGTATACGTACCCCTCTGAAAAAATATGAAAGTCAATTGAGGATCATGAAATTCCCAACTGAATGGATAAAAAATGTGCCAAACCACCAACCTAAAAAAACATGCCACCACATTATGATATTACACCGTTTTACAGAAATTGAGCCGCCATTGTGGTGTTTCAACGGGGATGGTATTCGGATCCCAGGGCAGGAATTAAAACACGTTTTTGAAGAAATAAGCAGCCTATGCCATTGAATCAACCGAAAGAAGTCACTTAATCAACAAAGATGTGGGAATGACGTGCCAGACCCCAACAGAAATGCCAAAAACGGGGATGGAAAGAACACGGATGCGGAACAATTAGAATGAACCTGGAAATCAACAATGTACATATTAAACTATGCCACAAAAGTGATTTACCGGAAAAGGATGGAGGAAAAAAAAAACATCATGATTGAGCCTGCCAAACATGAAAAAATGGTGAGATGCATCAGTACACAGGATATGCAACTCCCGGAATGAACCATGTTGGATCCCCAGTTCTCTGGTGAGATCCCCATGAAAATCAGCGACAGTGGATATCCCATGGCCATCTCTGATTCTCTCACGATATTCTCATTAAATTCTAGGAAATCCATATGTGTTGATTGTAAAACCTCCATTTACACCGGATTTCCCAATATTTCCCTGCCATGTTTGAAGTTTAAACCATGAAAATTCATGAAAATTCCACGAATCCGTCCTGTTGGATGCTCAATTCCTCCCAGGATTCGAGCACCTGCAAGAGCCAGTCCCATCCACCTGAAACGGCCACGTTCAGTCTTGGCAAATTGTCTCGTTGTTCAAGCTGCAGAACATGATCTACTTAACTAAATGGGTTTAGACATGTGTATATATATATATATATGTATCTACGTATGTATGTATGTATGTATGTATGGATGTATGGATGTATGGATGTATGGATGTATGGATGTATGGATGTATGGATGTATGGATGTATGGATGTATGGATGTATGGATGTATGGATGTATGGATGTATGGATGTACGGATGTATGGATGTATGGATGTATGGATGTATGGATGTATGGATGTATGGATGTATGGATGTATGGATGCATGGATGTATGGATGTATGGATGTATGTATGTATGTATGTATGTAGGTATGTATGTATGTATGTATGTTTGTATTAATGTAACGCAATGTAATGTAATGTAATGTAACGTAATGGAATGTAATGTAATATTATGTTATGTATGTATGTATGTATGTGTGTGTATGTGTGTATGTATGTATGTATGCATGCATGCATGCATGCATGCCTGCCTGCCTGCCTGCCTGCCTGCCTGCCTGCCTGTATGTATGTATGTGTGTATGTGTGTGGGTGTGTGTGTATACGTATGTATGTATGTATGTATGTATGTATGTATGTATGTATGTATGTATGTATCTATGTATCTATGTATCTATGTATCTATGTATCTATGTATCTATGTATCTATGTATCTATGTATCTATGTATCTATGTATCTATGTATCTATGTATCTATGTATCTATGTATCTATGTATCTATGTAGTATGTAATGTAATGTATGTATGTAATGTAATGTAATGTAATGTAATGTAATGGTAATGGTATGTATGTATGTATGTATGTATGTATGAGTGTGTATGAGTGTGTATGTGTGTATATATGTGTGTGTATGTGTGTGTGTGTATGTGTGTGTATGTGTGTATATGTGTGTGTATATGTGTGTGTGTATGTGTGTATGTGTGTGTATGTGTATGTGTATGTCTATGTGTATGTCTATGTGTATGTGTATGCATGTATGCATGTATGCATGTATGCATGTATGCATGTATGCATGTATGCATGTATGCATGTATGCATGTATGCATGTATGTATGTATGGATGTATGGATGTATCTATGTATCTATGTATCTATGTATCTATGTATCTATGTATCTATGTACCTATGTATCTATGTATCTATGTATCTATGTATCTATGTATCTATGTATCTATGTATCTATGTAATGTAATGTAATGCAATGCAATGCAATGTAATGTAATGTAATGCATGCATGCATGTATGTATGTATGTGTATATGTAAATGTAAATTTAAACCACCAATTAAGCCCGTCATGATCCGGGCTTACAGGGAAGCTTCGTGTGGCTCTGGAAGAATAGCGTGCACGAGAGTTTACTTTTCCACCACCTGACAAGTGTCATAAAGCTCAGGTGGTTGGTTTTCATGGGGATTTCCATTTCATGGATATCCGATAATGATCGTCCCCAATATAAATATGTATATATATTTGTATATATATATATTTGTATATATATAGATATATAACGTAGGAAATCCAAAAAAAAAACTCAACCCAGTGAAACTTGGCTGAAAGCTCACAGCCCAGTGGCCCAGCTTAAAGAAGGCGATCCGCGTCTCCGGCAAATCGCCCGCCAAATCGCTCAGGAGCTGGCGCGGTAGCTGTGTCGGCGGTGCGTTACGGGATGTTATTGGATATATGTGGGTATTCAAACAACAAAGTCAGAATGGGATATACTATGATATACTGGGATATGTGATCATTGGCTTGAAAATTGAAAATCTACAGGAAATCATAGTCTTACGAACCAAATACGCGGGTTTCCTGCGCTTTTAACTTCAACCAAGCCCAGGAACGAATAAACATTGAGAAGAAACCAGCAAAAATCAAGAAAATCCTCTGGATGGCAGCAAGCATGCAAGCTATCAAAATTTGATGATATGAGGAGTGGAACGAAGCAATACGATGGCCCCCGTGAGAGTGCCTTATGCATAAAACATAAACTGTGCACCAAAGCAGGTCCACTTTGGTACCCGTGGCTGCTGGAACTTATTTCAATCTTGTCATGTTTGTTGGTGACATCCTAGTTCGTGTTGGTGATACAGTACGCTAATCATTCACCACCCCTTCGCTGAACAGTAGGGAGCACCCCAAGCAGCAAAATCTATCTATCTATCTATCTATCTGATCTATCTGATCTATCTGATCTATCTGATCTATCTGATCTATCTGATCTATCTGATCTATCTGATCTATCTGATCTATCTGATCTATCTGATCTATCTGATCTATCTGATCTATCTGATCTATCTGATCTATCTGATCTATCTGATCTATCTGATCTATCTGATCTATCTGATCTATCTGATCTATCTATCTATAGTCATACGTTATATATACAGATTGATTTATGCACTGTAAGTACATATATTTACAGAAATGGCCATGTTCCACGTTCCATGTTCCATGTTACTGTTAATGTAGCTTTCTTTTTTCCACATCGCCCGCCTGCAGTCCTGCCAGGATCACATGCCCCTCCTGGTGTGCTCGCAGGGACAACAGGATCACCTCGGGGGAAAAGCACAGAACGGGGTCAGAGTTTCAGGCCTTTTGGGCGACTTTTTCACCAAGAAAAATGATTCGAAATGATGATTTCACCCAGAGAAATTGTAATTTTACTGGATTTAACCATGTTTAACCCATCAAGAAGCTGGGACTCAATCAATGAATATCAGGGTGTGATGCGAAACAATGGTCCATAATGACGATTATGCATCCCCAAAACATGCTAATTTCAATCGGGGAAAATGCTGATAAACCACTAGATTTGGGGGTACTCTATTTTCAGACGAACCCAAATAGAGGGATCGGTTTGGCATACAATCTACCATGATATAGCTATTGACTATTCCATGTGAATATCGACCTCTCTATTATTTATCGACCGAATAGCAGGTTGCTGTTCCTCCACATAGTATGACCATGTATGACCGACAGGTGTACTGTGGATTATCATCCACGTAGGGATGCACATCCAGCAAGAACGAGGGGAAATTGCTTCACTTCACCATATTGGCACCAAGTTCCCGTGTTTTTTGCAGTCGAGAGAGCAAGTTTGATTCTGAGCCATACCCAAATATGTGAGCCGACTTCAGGGCAAAATGATGCAAGTTTCAGACGATTCCAAATCCTCACAGTCCCCAATGACACAGGAATTGTCTGCCGCGCCATCATCCCCACCGTCTCCATCACCATCTGGGTTTGTCTGAAGTGTTTTTTTCATAATCGTCCATATTCAAATACCCTTGGGGACATCCGCATTTTCAGAAAATCGTGAGTCATTGGTTGATGCAATCGTACACTCATAATTGTACCCCATGTTTGATAGTTAAATCAATGTTTTTGCCCGCTGGCTTCAGTAATTTTCACGCCCCACTATCATTCTGGCCAAACCATATCATTTTTTGGGACGCTATCCAGTTTTCCCACTATCCCACCAGGAATCATACCCTATGTTTGCCGGATAAATCACCATCTCTAAACATATCCATCTCACACCATATCGAGTGATATATATATATATACATATATATATATATATCGAGAAATGCCGCAAAAAATGATGGTTTAAAACCTCATGTGTTCGGTCTTAAGATTGTTTTTGTTAAAAGGTGCATCCCCTATCTTCACAACATCATCTGCTTCCCAAGGCAGGGCTTCTGCGTATCAATTCCCCCATTATCCATCCATCGACATTATATGAATTACATCATTAAAAGATTAACCATATGTGTATATAATTATATATCCAACCAATACGTGTTCCTCTCCCAAAAAAAAAAAATATATATCCAAGATCCCCAAGTTCTCTCATTTTCCCCACCTTCCCAATGGGTTTGTCTGAAAATAGGGTATATTCCCAAAAAAAATAGCCATTTAATAGGGATAATGATCAGCAAAACCATTGGGTTTAGGGGTACACTATTTTCAGACACACCCAATCTTAAAATGGCCATGTCCATCTCCATGTCGCGGCACTCGGATCACTTGGAAGGCGTCCTGCGCTTCGACCTCGTTCCACCGCGCCCGGGCGGAGGTGCGCAGCGAGATCAGCGCCGCTTTGGTGGCGAAGGGACTGGAGCGCAGGTGCTCCAAGGCTTGGAGCAAAGCACTGAGGCCGTGCAACTCCTGAAACGGATGATGTATGGGATGCAGATAGATAAGCGAACATTATATATACATATATGCATATACATATATATATATTGTAAATATTGGGTTGGAAAATAGATGAAGACGATACATATGATAAACATGTCTATATAATTCTATATATTATATGTATATATATATATATGTTATATATGTATATATCACACAGTTAGTACAGCTACGTTATATTGTAATTATACTGTACGTTGTTCAAAAATCTTAGCGGTGGTTCAAGTATTTCAAACTGAAATAAGCCCCAAAAAACAGCCTTAGTGGTTTGAAGATCTTGAAGGCCTTGGAAAAGATTGGAGATTTGGATCATTATTCCAAATAGGATGCAAAATGAAAAATGCTTGAAACCCACCCGAGCCATTTTATGGTGGGGTACAGTAGTTCTTTTGGACCAAATATTTGGCCGATTTCCAAGGTATGGATTTAACATGATTTAACAGGATAATGGCTAGTTAAGAATTTGAATGGAAGCTGGGGACCAAAAAATCATGCAGAAACGAACAGCAGGATGAGCCAGAAATTTTGCTACTCAAATTGCAGTTGAGAGTGGAAATCGGGTGTAGGTCGACCAAAAAAGTGCCCCTTTATAGTCCATGTTTTCTTGGTAATTTCACCATCCAGTTGCCAAAAAACCTGGCTTCATCCAAGCTTCATCCAGGATACTCAGAGCATCCTGCAGCAAATACTCCGTACTGGCGTGGTTCGTCCTAGGTCAAATCACCATTTTGCCAAAAGCACCTGTGATTGAGCGATTGGAGCAACCCTACATTTCCAGTAAAAGTTTCTGGTGGTTTATGGTTTTGGACCACGGAATGAACATCCACATCAGTTATGGCGTTCTGTGATCCACATCTTAGCCGCTCTTAGCCTGTTCCATCTGATAGCTGTATATGGATGTGGATCGCTAGATGGACACCTAGATAGACAGACAAAGGGGTAAAGATGTCCACCAATCCACTTGTGGGTAGATATGTGGCGGAAATAAATTGCTTTATGCATTTCTGGTGTAGACATTGTTCATCAAATGGCAGATTATCCAGACGACGCCTGTTTTTGGGTGCTGAATCCAAATCCCGTCTTGGTGGCTACGACGGGGAACTGACAATTTGCCTCTAGTGGCTCATGGAAATAGCCCCCCTATGGGGATTATATTATATTGGGTCTTACTTTTCCTGTTGACCAATGGTACCCCTCCCCAAATGATGTGTTTCCAACAACAACAACAACAACAACAACAACAAACAACAAACAACAAACAACAAACAACAAACAACAAACAACCAACAACCAACAACAACAACAACAACAACAACAACAACAACCCGTTTTTAAGTTCACATCTTTGCTGATCTTTGAAACAGATGACCCTACACAATCCTACACAGCCATTTCTGTGGTTTGAACCGCCATTCTTGTTCGTAAACGCCCCTTGCTGATGGTAAAGAGCCCATAAGAGCCCATAAGACCATAAGACAGTCTGTACCTTCCACTTTAAATCCCCTGTAACAGTGCCACTGTTGGTGAAATCCCCCCGTTCCTCCCATGCTTTTCCAGTACCTGCCACTTTCAAAGACAACCCGAGACAACCCGCCAAGGGACATGCTGCGAACGAGCACCTCCACGACACCTGCTTTCCTGAACCGAAAGTGGAGCGTCTGATGAGTGGTCAGGTAATGGGGCTAGAAATGGGATGCTCTACGCCCCATGATATCTGTAGCCCTCGAATACCTGAAAATTCTTCTTTAGTATTGGAACTAATCATGTTCCGTCTCTTCTCGGTGGTATTTATATTATATGATTATCTGAATTTCGAATTCATCAGCAGAAAACGGTGGTTCGTGCCTGGAAAGAAACGACCAATATCCAAATGAAGGTTGTAGCCCTCAAACAAATGGGTGCACAAGAGAAATGCTGGCATTGGGAAAAATAAATGAATAAATAAATCATACCGCAGCTAGGTGCTACTTGACCCATGACCAAAATAGGAGTCACTTGGTGCTCATCTTGCCATTCACACAAGAATGAATGCCAACAAACATTGCTTTTTGCAACAATCTATGTACCCTCTGGTTATTTAACATGGCCATGGGAAATGGCCCATTTATAGATGGTTTACCTATTAAAAATGGTGGCTAATACCATCGAATCATCAGACACTTCATTGGATCTTACTCCATTCAAACCTGACGAAGCTGTTTGATTTCCGGAGGCTGCAACGCAGCCCATCCCCTGGTTACCCCAACCCCAAGCCACTAAGCCAGGCATCTGCAAGATATCCTTGGTGGTGCCATCAGAACCACTCAGGGCGGCTTTCAGGAAGCAAACGCCCACGGCTTGCACGCGTGGATCTGCTAGTCCTGGAGCGGATGGGGATGAGGATTTTTTCATCCACCTGCTATGTTTGAAATTCTGATGACTAGGGGACCTGTGATCTTTGAAACTAAGTCTTGTGAGTCTTATGTACTATTGTAGAGACCCTTCAAATGTCCTTCAAATTCCCACACTAGGCTGTTATGATCCTGCGTTAACGTTATGGGATCCCAGACATTGGGGACTTGTTCAGAAACTGAGCGCCCAAAATCGCAGGTGGACGGTGAAGAATGGAATAGGAGTTGACCTCATGAAGGGTCCATCGGCAGGTCCCACGGGTGTTGCAGCGGAGTGAAGCGAATATATTCGGAACAGAAACTGCATGGAATTTGAAGACCATCCAACGCTGGGGTCTCCATCATCTAAAGGTGGAGATCGTTTTTTGTCCGCATGAAAAGGAACGTGTTACCCCCGTGTACCTAGCTTCCCATCAGCGTTTTTGAGCGACAACGTTCATCACATGTGGGGTATGGGACAACTGTTGGACTGGGTATGGAGCGACCTCTGGTCATGTTGGAGATTCAAAGGCAGTTTCGGGTGCCCAATTTCCAGTCGCCATGTTCATTTAGAAAGAGGAAGCATCTGAGAAAAAGAAGTGGAGCCCACCATCAATGATTCAATGTGCATAGCAAGCGATTTAAAAAAAAAAAAAACGACCCAGTTCACTGGGCTGTTCAAGTCCCAGGATGAAGAACTCTCAAAGCTGAAAGAATGGCTACGGCGTCTACGGGGTCAGGCGCCATCCTGGCTAGTCCACAATTTTGGATCATGATATACCAATTCTGGATGAAACCTACGGACCTACGATCAACAGGACAGCCATGAACAAGGCTAGAAGTCGACACGGCCATGTTGTGCTTCGCCAATAAAAAACATGAAAATACCAACACAAATGCCTGCAAATGTTGAGGATATCTGATCTTAAGATTTCAACCATCCCAGAAAATCACACTAACCCACTGGTTCAATATTGCAGTCGTTCCATTTCGGAAAGGCGACATGGGCGCCCAGTTCGGTGTTTACCGTACCCTCAATTTAACATGGGATCCAGTATAGTGGGAGAATCTGGGATCCAGTAATCATCGAACTCAATTTGGGTCCACGTTCAACTCTGAAGCTAGGTTTGTTTGAAAACTGTGTGTCCATTTCAGGTCTTCCCCAAGGATTTCTTAGACTTTCACAGTTAGATACAGGAAAGGATGATTTTCCAGGTGAATTGACTGGTACCAGATGATGTCCGTCCCACCTGACTGCATCTCTTCGAGCACATGAAGCACCTTGCCGCGAAACGTGCTGCCCTGGGTGCCCTGGGTTTCGATCATTTCCAGAGGGTTTACCCCAGAGAAAGCCTTGCCGAGTCTTACTATTACAATGGACATGCTGACATGGTTCCAATGTCTGGATTTCTTCTGATTGCTCCAATTCCTGTCAACGTATCCCACCTTTTGGGTTAACTGTTGGGACAAACTCATCTGCTGCAGAAAAACCCAGTTTCGTTCGTACCATCCCTCCCTAATCTGGTTTCTGGAGGATCGGGCACAGAAAATTCATCAAAATTCGCTGGTTGAAAGTTGAAACCATGGCACAGCAGAACCCACCAGCTCTACCAGGGGCTGTCGCAGTTTGCTGACCGCCCGGTTGGCCACCGGTTCGCTGCAGCTTCGCCTAGTCAAACATTGGAAGAACAGGAAAACCATGATGTTTATAAGGATTTTTGTTAAGGACATCCATGAGTTTTCCCAGTATTTTGTGGGAAATCCATGAGTTTTCTCAAGTTTTGAGGGCCTTCAAAGATTCGCCAACTCTGGGAAGACAGACGGAGTTGTGGCGGTGCAACAAAATATGGGAGATTATGGTGATTTCACCAATATTGGACATCAGGATACTGAGGATATCCACAAATTATGGCAATTACCCTCTGGTAAACTAACATAACTCTGGAAAATCACAATGTTTAATGGGGAAATCAACTATAAATGGCCATTTTCAATAGCTATGGGTAAATTTTAATAGTCATTTGGGGCGTGTTCCCGTGGGTTCCCAATCATCATTGATCGTCACATCAGTGATTATGGATCATTCACGATCATTCCCTCATTCCCTGCTAAGCACCAGTAAGTTATGGCAATTTGTTGATCAAGACCGTGATGGTAAAGCCACTAATCCATCAAGCCAGTGGTTGAAAATCATGGGATGACAGTCCCCATAGATTTACACAGGGAAAATCTCACTGCAAACCATGGTTACTGTCTGGTAAACTAACAGTTTGCTATTGAAAATGGCCGTTTATTGTGGATTTACTCATTAAAAATGGTGATTTTCCATAGGTATGTTAGTTTACCAGAGGTTACTCTACCATCATCTAAATCGGATGTTCCTGCGATTTTTCTCTTAGCTGTTCTCTCAAAATAATTCTTGGATTCAAACCATCTTTCTATGAGATCACCCAATTTGGGCTAACCACGATCACCAGGGTTTTTAAGCAGCCACTTTAGCGTCAAAACTGATCCAGAGGAAAGGGTGGGCAACCAATCGATCTCTACATCCCTTGGGTTCCACAATTTGCAGCTGGGGCCTCCAAACCTCTCTGCAAGTATCCCAAATTGCCGATTTTCGGGGAAAGCAGTTGTGTTCTGTTCGGGATCTCTCCAATTTTGAACACGCTCAATGAACTCATATCATATTTTACGCGGCTTCCCACCGAGAACCCTTCCCTACGCACGATTGCACAACTAATAGGGTGAAAGGCAACATCCAACGTGTTTTGAGACTCCCAACAGTTTCCAGCTGGCAAGTGAGATTGCATGCTGGAGGCAGATCCAGTGGAGCTATCTTCGAAAAAACTGGCAAAGATAGACATACTATATATGAATCAATAGCAAAAAAAACGTTGTTAAAAGGGAATGGACATCCAGAAATCCATCTAAATCCCAGCTATTGCGATATTCACAAGGGATTCCATGGGTAACCGCCAAGTCTCAACCCATCCCGGAATACCGCCAAGTCTCCAGTAGGCCTTGTGCAGCCCATCCACCGCCCGGAACAAGTCCAGCACCCCGTCTTCAGGCTGCAAGACAGCCATGGCGGCGTTGGGAAATTCTTGAAACGTGGCTTGGAGACTGGTCGCCTGGTGAATTAGCTGTGAAAAACCGGTGAACGAAGGAAAAGTATCACTACATGTTGGCTGTGTGCATGTATCTATGTAGATAACATACATAGTATATTGTGTGTACATATATATATAATAATAATGTAATATTATATACTATGTATATATATATATATATACATATTATATACATATATACATATCAATAATATTATATGTATAATTCGCGCTATTTTTTTCGATGTTCGTCACCATTGTGAGTTTAGTCTATCCCAGGACATGCCAGAAGCTCGGTCCATGGAGGGTCACTGAAGTGATCGGCGGCCTGTTTGGAAGATCTTTGCCTAGAAACCACTCGGGGTGTTCCATAACTGGGGGATCCCCAAGAAATGGATGGTTTATAGTGGAAAATCCCAAGATAAAATGGTTTATACTGATTTATGCTGGAAAATCCTATTAAAATGGGTGATTTAGGGGTACCCCCGCTATAGCAAACCTCCACTTCAGCCTGAAGGTCCCAGGGATTGACTGGGGTTCATGATGTTCCATGCCGCGCCGACACTACGATCTGCAGCCCATAAAATCCCGGAAAAAGACGGGAAGGTTTTGGCTGAGCTTGGATTCCCGAAGATAAAAATATATCAAAATGCATCAAAATGTCTAGTTCATGAAAAATCGCCATTTGTGATCTCGGAATCTCCAGAAATTTATTATCAAGGATGGCCCCTCAAGTGGCCCTGGGTCCTCTGGAAGGACAAAAACTTGAATTTAACCACCGAAAATTGGGAGATACTCTCTGCACTGGAGAGACTACAAGTCTTTATCAGTATGCCTACCATAGTCATCCATAGTCTGTGAGTTCGTTGGATCTTAAATTTCCACCCACCCAATACGTGTTTAAAGAGTTTGGTATCAAACGCATTCATTTCGGATGCTTTCAAAGCATCCCCTAGAGGCATGCCCAATACTGATACTCCCCATAGCAACTATTCAAGTGTATTCAAGTGACCTCATATCAGGTATTCTACCAACCACTAGAATGTTTTGGGAGATTGAAAACATCCACATGTCATCTCCTTTCCGTAATCTCACCGGAGCCCCTCATGTTTCCTGCTGAACTAGGACTCAGGCATTCCCAACTTTGAAACCACTCCCCACAAAACCCTTGGAAAAAGAGAATACAAATACTACCTTCCGGCAATCAAACAAAGCAACGGGAAATACCCTATAAATAAGAGTTAAAAGGGAACATGATCTATAAACGAGAGTTCTCCATTGTCGCCTTTGATTGCTGGAACGTAATTCTATTTAAGGTTGTCTCTGTATTGACGCCACCATATTGACATTGCACCACCTACCGTAAGGACCTTCCCAACTCTGCATGGTTTCCATCCATGGGTTGCCGGACTTGGAAAGTCCAGGTTGGATCCCAGATTGGATCTATCAGGGGCATAAACTGTAAATTGTGTCTTCGATGATAATGAGATTAATCTGAATTACAATAGTAATGAAAACAATAATCATGCTGCTAAGACTAATCAACATATTTATATATATAATAAGACCAACAACAACCATACAATAACAACATAGACAGACAGACCGATAGACAGATGGTCAGGTAGACAAACAGACAGATAATAGATAAATTTAAATAGATAGATGGACAGGTGGTCAGGTAAGGTCAGAGAGAGAGAGAGAGAGACGCTGTCAGAGCCTCAACCACCTTTTAGTCCATCAGTTCGCTCTGCCATCCATGAATCACAACAACTCCCCTCCCGTCAGGTTTCCTGTCTTTTACCCACCTATCCATCCAACTATCTATCTTTCTGTGTATCTATCTCTGAGCTTCCAAAAATGGTGCCAGCATGTGCCAGCGTAATGTGCTTTTTACATTTTGACTTTACACCGGCGTGCACTTTTTCGACATCTCAATCTCCAAAAGCGGTCCCAGTGTGGTGTGCTTTTCAAATTTGACTTCGACATGCGCTTCGCCCCACAGCCCCGTGCACTTTTTCAACAGCTCAACTTCCAAAAGTGCTCCGACACTAAGGTGTTTTTGGCCTTTTGACTTCGAAATCTGCTTCGCGCCACAACGGCGTGCAATTGTTCATCTCTCATTTCCCCAGATGGCTCCAAACCCGCCGCTTTAGAGAGCCTACTTTTCGACCCTCCTGAGCCCAAAAAATCGGAAAAACACAGTGTTTCGCGACGTTTCTGCCTTTCCGCGCACCTGCACCTTCTTTTTTCTGACCTTCTTTTTTCTGACCTTCTCTTCGCTGATCTTCTTCCTTCTGACTCTCTCAGCTTTGACTCTTCCCACCTCTGCTTTTCCATCTGCTGATATTGTGGGAAGTTTGACTTCTAAACGTCCTTCGAATATAGCAACATCTCATAACAATCACAATCGGTGTCCAAATGTCGCCCATCACCCGGGGTAAGGATGAACCATCGGACATGTTGTTTTTTTTTTACAGTAAGCAGTTGGCCGGAGGCCGGAAGAGTTGAATTCACAGCTCAGTTATCTCCAGGCGGGATGGTACCTGGCTATGCGTGACGCTGGGACAGTTGGATGGGGATGGGGATGTCATGGGATCAACTGTCATGATAATCCACTGTTGGATGGTGTTGGATGTTAATAATCCTTAACCATAATGGGATATAATGATGGGATATTAGTATATTAGTTGGATGTTATTTTCCCGGTTTCTCCCACTAATATCCCATCATTATATCCCATTCTATATGCTTAATGGGATTTGAAGGAGATAGCAACCGTGTCAGGTTCGCCTCCCTTAATCAGACCCTTGTTCTTCTGCTGCCGGATGAACATTTCCAGTTGGGGTCACACTCCCTTTGCGCACGGGCTGGGTCCATTGGGCTGCTCGTCTAAAGGCAAACCCGCCAGCTTTCGATACGCAAACCACGCCTGCGCGTAGATGTACAAGGTAAGGGATGTGCCCCAGATAACGAAGTTGACGCACATAGATCACATAGCTTGGTTAACGTTTGGGTGGGGAATGCAACTATACGTAATGGATTTGTAAACCAACTTCCAGAATTCTTAGGCAAACCCCCTGTGATGGGTAGTTGTTACTTCAACCCCATGGGTAGTTGCTACTTGCACCCCCATGGAAATATCTGGGCTGCGCGCCCCGTCATTGCCAGTTAGGTCACTGTCCAAGTGAGTCAAGATGGGTGAATCGAGCTAAGGTAAGCTGTGGGGCGAAAATTCAGGCCCCTTCACACCTGCAGATTGACTCAGTCTGAATTTTGTCTGAAACCGAGTTAGGCGGGGACCCATTGACTTGACTCATACACAAATGATGGCTTTTCTTGGGGTTCAGTTTTCGGAGAATGTTGCTATTGAGATTAAGTATCTTCATTGGCATCTCCATGAGGTCGTCGCGTCGGCCTTCGTCTGCTTTTGGCGAGCAGGATCAAACCTAGGGTGAATTTGCGGCTGCGGATGGCTCCCAAAAAAATGGTGGACGGACAATGGCGCAAGGCCCACAATAACATCAATACGGGTCCCAACACTCAGATGGTCAAGTTCCAAGAATGAGCAAGTCCTGTCAAATTGCAGGAACACCCTGCATGCCTAACCCAAAATGCTGGAAATTGTAGTCCGTGATCGAATCTGCCAGTCACCGAGCCTGTTGTTCTAAATGGTTCCTGTCCTGAAAACGACCAACTTTGGCTACTCCCCAACTACCTCCAATTGTGAATATTCAAAATGTGATGACAATTTGGGTCTGCCTCAAATCAGCTGACAATTCTGTATTTGCCCCCTGCATATTCAATGATGTAATGGCGAGAAAGCAATATTTTTTGGGGTGCTCCATTTATCATTTAGGTTGCTATAGCCCACGCTTCTATCCTATCCACATTTCACGGGTCCACATTTGTCCTCGTTTCTGGATTTGATGTGATTTAATCTCATCTTTTGGCTGTACCATTCCCAAAACCACCAGAAATTAGCTGTGCAAACCATCCCCAGTTTACAGGTTCATGGTTGAGTTTACCACATTAGACGCTGGTAATGTGGTAACCCCCATCCCTGCTGCTGGGATCGCCCGGTGCATGGCGTGATGGAGTCATGGGAATGGATCGCCGGTGTCTCCTGAAGCAACGAGAGATGACGGTTCCGCGCGACGACTGTTGGAGATTTTCTCAAGTGGCAGGTTGCCAGGGGGTCATTAGATGATCCCATCAAATTTTAACCATCAAATTAAAGTGTTTAACTGTTTAACCATCAAAAGTCCTGGCTTTCAACATGGAACCATCCTGAAATGGGGATAGCAAAGTCGCTACCTACAAATACAGAGTTGGCTTCTAGGTGGGTGTTTCATGTTTTCGGGGCAAGGGATTTCTCTATTTGAAACAATATGGCCTGGTGAAAGATCTCGTCATTTTCCATCAGATCATCTTTCAGAGGGCACTTCGACTACGAACGTTGGTGTCGGTGTCTCCAGTAGGGAACTAATTAATGGATATACATCCAAGGTGAAAGCCCTAAATGCCAGAAAATTAGGTATGGTTCATTCTTGGGCATACCACTTTCTAAACCGTGATCTATACATATCTAGACCTTGAACTTACCCCGCTTTTACCCGTTGCTGTGAGTACTTTTAGGGTCAAGGTATATAAATGTGTATTTATATATGCATATTCATGTATGTATGTGTATATATATATATGTATATATGTACGCATACAGATATGATATATATATAAGGTTTGATTCATCTATCCGTTTTATATGCATGTGTGTACTATGTACATCTAATACAGCAGCGGTGATATCCGGCAGCCGCTCCAGCAATCCAGTGATCTCCAGTGCTTCGTCCAAGTCCACCGAGCCGCCCTCGGCTTCCCCGTTAAAGAGCCTGGCATTTTTTTGGGGCCGGAGACGAGGCCAACAGATGGATATGGATATAGACGTAGGTACTATCTATATATATATATATATTCACTTAGATGCATTTATATAACCATATA